CAGTATGCACAGAGGACGCCGGCTGTGGGTGTGAACACCGTGCCACGGGACCTTTATTAGGACAGACCCGTGTGTTGTTCAGGCTGGAAATCAGGCCCCGGGATGGCTCTGCTTAGCTGTGAACCAAGAAGCTAGCAGGCGTGGCCGCTGGGTGCGGGGTGCCGGGTCCCAGGATGCGGGAGGACATCAGAGCTGCTCCCCTCCGACCTGGGTGTCCTGGGCAGAGGCTGGCTGCTCGGACTGAGCTGGGCTGGTGGTGGGTCCCTGGATTGGGGTTTTCCCGGTGGGCGTTCCCGCCCGGATGTGGAGAAATGGCCTTGGGGTTCGCCGAGCCCGCTGGGCTGATGTGGTAGATTCTGTTAGGTGCTCGGCTCACGACTGCTGGAGGAAACAGCTGAGAATAGGGAGAGAAACGATACAGCACGGAAGTCCTCAGGCACAGTCCGGGCCAGAAAGCACTCCTGAGAGATTGCGGGGCGTGGGTTCAGACAGCTCTGAACCCCTCCCTCCACGCTGCCAAGAACACGCAGGCCACACCCCATTCTACAGACAGTAGGACTGAGACCCGAGACCCACTCCGCTCAATCCAGACACACACACAGGCTCATCTCGTTAAAAGATGAGGCACAGCTCTTCTTGGCCAGAGAAGAGGGATTACAGTCTTCTTTCTCTCACTTTTTTCTCCCAAGGAGTTGTGACTTTTTAATAGAAGTTGGTTCGTGTGCAGGCATTTTATTCCTCAATTAATTTCCATCTAAATGAGGTTTTCCCGGAGTTAACCAGTGTTTCAGTTCCATTGGAGCTTAATTTGTATGACTGAAGCCTGCGTTGCTGCCAGTTCCAATTTGCTCGGCGATTCTCGCTGTCATTACCTGGGTGATACGCTCCCACGCAGGCGGCCGCACCCGGAGCTGGGAGGTGGGCCGATTTCATAGAGCCATGCTGGGGCGGGTGTAGTCCTTCTCCTCTCCTTTCCTCTCCTCTCCTCTCCCCTCCCAACACCACTCGATAAATAGGAAATAAATTATTAAATAAGCCAAGTTCTGATAAGGGATCCCATCATGGTATTTAGAATGCAAAACGATCACCACTAAAAAAACAAAAAAAAACATCAAAAAAGAAAAACAAACAAGCAAACAAAAGACAATAGCCACAGACAGAGGGGAGCAGACAGGCAGCCGCCTGGGCCCCCTGGTGCAGAGGGAGGGAGGGGTTCAGGAAGCTTTGCTGGAAACACTTAGCATCCCCCCCACCCCCCACGGGACTCAGGTGGCCAATGTAGGAGGGACAAGTGTGAAGGAAACCTGTAGGTTTTAAAAAAAATTTTTATGAGACAAAATTTTATATTCAGCTGAAGAGAAACACAAGATACGTGCCAGGAGACCACTTTGGATATCCGGGGGGAGAATGTGGCAGAAGCAGCGACAGAAGTGGCCCTTGAGGAGAAAATGCGTTCGAACCCTTGGCCGCACCCTGAATTCTGGCCTCTTCAAGCAAACCCCTGGGAAAGACATGTCCGAGGGAATGAGGGATGGGGCTCTCCGGCCCTGTGTCCTTCAAACATCTTGATTTCCTGTTGCTTCTGAAAGACCAACTTCCCTTCAGAGACGGGGAGCAGCACAGGATGCAGTCGCCCAGGTGGACCCCGAGCCTGGGTGGCTCTGACCAGGGGCTTTTCCCTCTCAGCCCAGGGCACCCACACTGCCTCAGGCTCCGCTCGGATGAAGAACCTCCTCCCCGTGTCCCAGGCTGCGTCCCTTTTTTCTCTGTGTCTCGGGAACTCGCTCTGCCTTTGAGAACTGCCCAGGCCTCGGCGAACATGGAGATGGACTCGCAGACTCTCTCCCACTTCTCCACGTGGGAACTGGCCCCGGAAAGGGCGCGGGCGCCCAGTGAACCCCGCAGCAGGGGGCCAGGGCTTCAGGTGTTGGGCCTCAAGCCTTGTCTCCCTCCCCTTTCCGCTCTGCCTGTGAGGTTCCAGCATCCGCCTCATTCCCTGGAAGCGGCAGAGCAGCAGGATGCCGGGGAGTGTGAGGACAGGAGCAGCACACCCAGTGAGAGGAGCCCCAGGGGCACTGCGCAGCCTCCTGCCGCGTTCCCAGGCCTGGGCGAAGGCAGGTGAGTCACATTGCCAGGGAAACGCCAGGGCAACGCCAGGGCTGTGGCAAAATCTCACCAAACCAGCGCTGAGCCAGGCCAGCGACCATCCCGGGCCGGCAAGGTGACTGTGGGAGGGGAGCCGTCTCCAGCCAGAGACCCCCGCTGGCTGGGCCGAGGAGGCTGGCAGGGCCTCTGGGTCCCGGGTCCCAGGATGGGTTCTGAGGTGACCTTGGGGGGGACCCCTAGCTGCTCATTTTACTCCCTCCCCAGTTTCAGAAACAGCTTTGTTCTCTCTCCTGACAGAGTGCAGCAAGAGGTCACAGGAGGCCTTTGCTTGGGGCGGGGGTGTCTGCCGGGATGACTGGCACCTGGGCAGAAAGGACAGAGCGGTCTCAGGACGGGAGGAATGAGCCACGCCTGTCGGAAGTGGGGTCACTCACAGGAAGCCAGCCGGGTGCTACGGGGACGCCCAGTGATCCTGCCACGAGCAGGTGCCCCGGGGCAGGGTGAGGCGAGGTGTGCACGTTCCCGGCCTCTTCCAGGATCTGAGCGCCCCGTCAGCTCCAAGGGCCACCCCAGCTACCACTCCTAGTGAACCCCGGGGCGTCCAACCTCCAGGGCCTCCCAGACACAGGCAGCCGCCCGAGTCCACACGACGGGGGCTGGGCGGCCACCATGCCTGGCACCACCCGCCCCCCATCAGTGCCTTTCAGGGGCCCCGACTCCGACCGCGGCGTTCCCTTCCAGCCAACGTCAGACTCCAGCCCCCACATGAGCTGTGACTCACTGTCAAGCCAGCGCCTCAGCTCAGAAGCTTCTGAGCCACTGACTTGGTGGGCAGGGGCGGGGGCTGAGGAATGAACCTTGGGGCTCGGAGCTCAGGGGTCTCACTTTCAGGGCAGAAGCCAACATCCCCACCCCCCTCCGCCTCTCAAATCCCATCCAGAGAGACACTAGGGGAAAGGAGTGAGATGCACAGAAATACTTTAGAAAACCCTTCCTCCCCCCACACATACACACACAGCCTCTCCATATAAATAAATAAATAGGGAATACTGCCGATGGTGGCGCAGCGAGATCGCATCACATAAATAAATAAACATAAATACGTAAAATAAATAAAAGGCTGCTGGCGGCCAGGCCAGGCGGTCCCCTGGGCCTCTCGCTTCTTCCTAAGGAGGCGCCGTGGCTCCGGGAGCCTCAGTCTCCGTGAAGGGGGTGGCGTCCAGCGGGGCTCCGGGTGGGGAAGAGGGTTATTTACAGTTGCTGTACATGCCCTCCCGGCACCTGCCATCCTGCCTCTGTGGTGACAGCATTGGCATCCGTAGGTCTTGGCGGGCGGGGGCCGGGCCTGGGCCAGAGGCGTCCTGGGAGGCCAGGTCCTTGCGCTGCCCGAAGGGTGCAGGGTTTGGGGGGTCGCAGGGCAGCTTCTGGCCCCTCAGGCTGAGGTGATGGGAAAGACTGGTGAGGGAGGGTTGTTGCTTCAGAAAAAACACGTTTTTCTTCCAAATGTTTTCCCTGCGGCGTGAGGGGTAAAGGATGCTGGTCCCCGCTTCCCCACAGCTGAGAGCGGTCCCTTGCTCTCCCCATGTCCTGTCCCGCTGCTGTGGCCACCACACACGGGAACCCGCCCACCAGGCTCCGGAGAGCCGGTCGGCTGGCGAGGGGCTGCCCGGAGTTTATTTCAGGATCCTCTCTCACCCCATCCGCTGCCTTCTGTGCACGAAGCAGCTGCTGGTGTTTGTGTGTTAGAGATCAGCTTACCCACTGCCCAGCCCTGGGCAGGGGACAGGGGCGGAGGGCAGAGTGGGGTGGGGCTTCCTCCACTGACAAGGAACTTCAGAAGCCACGGGCAGCCTTGGGCACGGAGCACCCCAGACCCCCAGGCTCTCTGGATTTGGGTCTTTCCCCCAAACTTGAGCTGCTATGCCCCATCCTAGCAAAATTCCTGAGAGGCAAAGGGGGAGGCGTAGGCCGAGGTGGGTACTCAGCTGCACTGGGCAGGATCCAGGGTGTGGCCGTCTGGGGGAGGGGAGGGGGCAGGCAGGCGCCAACCGGAGGGCAAGGCCCGACGGGCTGGCGCTGGGGGATGGGAGCTGACCATGGCACTGGGGAATGTTCAGCAGATGGTCCCATGGAATTAAGCTGGTGCCAGCTGGTGGGGCTGTGGCCCTGCTTCCTGCCTATCTGTTGTGTCCTTTCCCGGGAGGTTGCCGGTCCCTGCGAACAGCCCAGAGGCATTGTGGGTGAGCCAGGGTGGCCTCTCGTGCTAGAACCTGCTGGGCCCCTTCTCCTGACCTGCGGGGGCACTGGAGCCGCAGGCCCTTCCTCTGTGTCTGCATCCCTGGGCAGAGGACCCTCCTCCCAACTGAACGCCCGCGTCCCTGCTCACACACGGCCCTTCTAGGACTCAACAGCCTCTAGCCTTTGCTCTGGCCAGTTTGGGGGTGAAAGGCCTGACCCTCTCCTGGAGCTGAAGTGCCCTTGGTCTCTTCTCTTGCCCCCCACCCCACGCCCACCCCCACGAGGGATCCGTAACCCTGAGCCAGGAGCCGGCTTGAGGGCAGGGTGATGTCGCCCTGCATCCTGGGAGCAGGTGTCAGTGGAGCCATCTCTGCATTCCCCTGGCCAGGCCCAAACGCTGGAGTCATGGCCCCGCTGCTGCTTGCAAAGCCTTGAGGGGTGTGTGCCAACAGGGTGGTCTCTCCATAGGTCCAGGCTTGAGTTGAACCCAGGGTGGCGCTGGTGGAGGCTCCTCGCAGCTGGACATAGAGGCCGACCCCTCTTTTCCTCTTCCCAGGAGCTCAGGAAGGACAGGGTCCAGGAGCCCTCAATGTCTGTCACCAAGAAGGCAGGGTGGGCAGGGAGGGGGGCTGGCCGAGGGCAGGGCCCG